GACTCTCATTCATAATAGAAGGAACAACACACAGTTTCACAGACAAACAACAGCTCAGGAACTTCATAGACTCAAAACCATGGTTACAAGAACAATTAAATGGGCTACTTTAAGGCAAGAAAGGCCCCTCAAATACACCAAACTTTAACAGAACAATGGGACAAAATCCCATAACATTAATCTCTCTCAATGTCAATGGGCTAAACGCACCAATTAAAAGACATAGAGTGGCAGGATGGATTAGAAAATTGAACCCAACATTCTGCTGCCTGCAAGAAACGCATCTCAATAGTCAAAGCAAACACAGACTCAGAGTCAAAGGCTGGAAAACAATCCTACAGGCAAACAGCTCCCATAAAAAAGCTGGGGTAGCCATCCTTATATCAGACCACATCGATTTCAGAGTGAGGAAGGTCATAAGAGACAGTGAAGGCCATTTCTTATTGATCAGAGGATCTGTACAACAGGAAGAACTTACAATAATAAATGTATATGCACCTAATGAGAGACCAGCAAAGTACTTAAAACAACTACTCATAGATTTGGAAAAAGACATCAATAGCAACACAATACTAGTGGGAGACTTCAACACTGCTTTGTCACCTCTTGATAGATCAACCAGACTCGAGCTTAGCAAGGACATACTTCAGTTGAGGGAAACAATGGAAGAAAGGGACTTAGTAGATATATACAGGACACTTCATCCACAAAAAGCTGAATACACATTCTTCTCAAGCGTACATGGAACATTCTCCAAGATAGACCACATGCTGAGCCACAAAACATGCCTCCATAAAATTAAGAAGGTAGAGATTGTATCAACAATCTTCTCAGACCATAATGCGCTGAAATTAGAAGTAAATCACACACAAAAACAGAAAACTAAATCAAACACCTGGAAATTAAACAGTGCACTATTGAACAACGAGTGGATTAGACAGGAAATCAAAGAGGAAATCAAAAGATTCCTAGAAACGAATGAAAATGAGAACACGAGTTACCAAAACTTATGGGACACAGCAAAGGCTGTTGTAAGAGGAAAGTTTATAGCTCTACAAGCTTTCCTCAGGAAGGAGGAGCGAGCACACATAAGTAACCTAACCTCACAGCTTAAGAGCTTGGAGAAGGACCAAAAAAAGGAGCACAACCCGAACAGGAGAAAGGAAATAATAAAACTCAGAGCAGAGATTAACGAGATGGAAACCCAAAAAACAATCCTAAAGATCAATGAAACCAAAAGCTGGTTCTTCGAAAAAATTAACAAGATCGATAAGCCTCTAGCAAAACTCACAAAGAAAGGGAGAGAGAAAACCCTAATAAACCGAATCAGAAATGAAAAGGGGGTCATTACAACAGAAACCACAGAAATTCAGAGGATCCTCAGGGAGTACTTTGAGAAGCTTTATGCCACGGAACATCAAAACCTCGAGGAAATGGATAAATTCCTAGACTCCTACAGACTCCCAAGGCTGAACCAAGAAGACCTGGAATACCTGAACAGACCTATCACCATCAAGGAAATTGAAATGGTAATAAAAAGTCTCCCCAAGCACAAAAGTCCTGGCCCGGATGGATTCACTAGTGAATTCTTCCAAATCTTTAAAGAGGACTTACTCCCGCTGCTCTTTAAGCTTTTCCACGAAATTGAAATATCAAAAACACTTCCGAACAGTTTCTACGAAGCAAATATCACACTGATACCAAAAGCAGACAGAGATACCACAAAGAAAGAGAATTACAGGCCGATATCCCTGATGAACACAGATGCAAAGATCCTCAACAAACTACTAGCAAATAGAATCCAACTACTCATCAAAAAGATCATACACCATGACCAAGTAGGATTCATCCCAGGGATGCAAGGATGGTTTAACATTCGGAAATCAATCAACATAATCCACCATATCAATAAAAGAAAAGATAAAAAGCATATGATCATATCAATAGATGCAGAGAAAGCATTTGATAAGATCCAGCACCCCTTTATGATGAAAACCCTAGCCAAAATGGGTATAGAGGGGACCTTCCTCAACATAATTAAAGCCATCTACCACAAGCCTACAGCAAGCATCATCCTCAATGGGGAAAAACTGAGAGCCTTCCCTCTAAGATCAGGGACGAGACAGGAATGCCCACTCTCTCCACTGCTGTTCAATATAGTACTGGAAGTACTTGCAATAGCGATTAGGCAGGAAAAAGATATTAAGGGCATTCAGGTAGGAAAGGAAGAAATCAAGCTCTCACTATTCGCAGATGATATGATACTCTACTTAGAGAACCCAATAACTTCCACCAAAAAACTCCTAGAAACAATAGACTCGTATAGTAAAGTTGCAGGCTATAAAATCAATACCCAAAAGTCCATGGCTTTCCTATACGCAAACAGTGAGAGAGAAGAAAGCAACATGAAAAAAACAATCCCATTCACAATTGTGCCCCAGAAAATCAAGTACCTAGGAATCAGCTTAACTAAGGAAGTAAAGGACCTGTACAAAGAAAACTACAAAACGCTACTTCAGGAAATAAAAGAGGACATGAGGAAATGGAAAGATATCCCCTGCTCATGGGTCGGGAGACTTAACATTGTCAAAATGGCAATACTACCAAAAGCATTGTATAAATTCAATGCAATCCCTATAAGGATACCCATGACATTCTTCAAAGAAATGGAGCAAACACTCTTGAAATTTATATGGAACAATAAGCCCCCACGAATAGCTAAAGCAATTCTTGGGAAAAAGAAAATGGGAGGAATCAACCTCCCGAACTTCAAACTGTACTACAAAGCAGTAATAATTAAAACAGCATGGTACTGGAACAAAGGCAGAACTGCAGACCAATGGAACAGGGTTGAATACACTGACATCTCTCCTCAATCATATGCTCATCTAATCTTTGATAAAGGTGCAAGTAATGTGAAGTGGAGTAAGGAAAGCCTCTTTAATAAATTGTGTTGGCATCACTGGACGGCTACATGCAAAAAAATAGGCTCAGAACTCTGCCTAACACCATGTACAAAAGTAAGATCAAAATGGATTAAAGACCTCAACATCAGACCAGAAACCATAAGGTACATTGAAGATAAAGTTGGCAAAACCCTCCATGACATTGAAGCTAATGGTATCTTCAAAGATGCCACACCACTGGCCGAGCAAGTGAAAACAGAGATAGATAAATGGGACTATCTTAAACTAAGAAGCTTCTGCACCTCCAAAGAAACAGTGACCAAAATACAAAGACAGTCTACAGAATGGGAAAGGATATTCACCGAATACACATCTGACAAGGGGTTGATATCCAGGATATACAGAATACTGGTTAAACTCCACAAGAAGAAAACATCCAACCCCATCCAAAAATGGGGCAATGAAATGAACAGGAACTTTCTCAAAGAAGAAATCCGAATGGCAAAAAAGCACATGAGAAAATGCTCTACATCATTAATCATCAGGGAGACGCAGATCAAAACCACAATGAGATACCATCTCACACCTCAGAGACTGGCCCATATTCAAAAAAACAAAAGCAACCGATGCTGGCGTGGATGTGGCGAGAAAGGGACACTCCTTCACTGTTGGTGGGAATGTCCACTGGTTCAGCCCTTCTGGAAAACAGTATGGACGATTCTCAAAAAATTAGAAATTGAGCTCCCATTTGACCCAGCAATACCACTCCTGGGAATATATCCCAGAGAGGCAAAAATGTATAGTCGAAGTGACATCTGCACTTGTTTGTTCATTGCAGCACTCTTTACAATAGCCAGAAACTGGAAGAAACCTGAATGCCCAAGGACAGATGACTGGTTAAAGAAACTTTGGTACATCTACACAATGGAGTACTATGTAGCTGTTAGAAAAGATGAAGTCATGAAATTTACATACAGGTGGTACAATATGGAAAGTATCATGCTAAGCGAAATGAGTCAGAAAGAGAGGGATAGACATAGAAAGATTGCATTCATCTGGGGGATATAAAGTAACAAAGTATGAGATTAATACCCAAGAATAGCTGAGATCAGCACCAGGAGGATTACTCCATAACTTAGAGGCCAGCCAGGTATCCTAGAGGAAAGGGCAGTTCAGATAGAGAAGGGAGCACCAAATAAAGGATGTTTGGAGGATCCTCCCAGGAGGGGAGATGCATGTCGAAAGTAGACTATGGACTGAACATGTTTGCCACTCAATGCCTCTTTTGCAGACCATAACACCCAAAAGGAAAGAGAGAACACAGGGGATTGCCCTGCCACAGAGACGGGGGATGGGGGGATGGGGGTGGGAGGGATATTATCCATGGTGGTGGAAAATGGGCACTGGTGGAGGGATGGGTATCTGATCATTGTATAATTGAAACCAAAGCACAAAAAATTGTAAATCTACAACTTTAAAAAAAAATAAAATAAAATAAAGGGAAAAAAAACTGCCAGAATATTCTACAATGGTACTCATTTTTGGAGCTGTAAGTGTTCTTAATTTTTCTCCTTCTTTTAAAGAATTGTAATAGTAAATAAATTCTAGCTGCATGCCATTATGAGTGCAAGGTAAATGAAGAATTCAGTGCATATAAGAAAGCTTTGGACTTTGGGGTATTGATTTTTATAGCCTACAGCTTTACTATATAAGGCTATTATTTCTAGGAGCTTCTTGGTACAGGCTTTAGGGTTCTCTAAATATAGTATCATGTCATCTGCAAATAATGAAAGCTTGATTTCCTCCTTTCCTATCTGGATGCCCTTAATATCTTTTTCTTTCTTAACTCCTATTGCAAGTATTTCCAGTACTATATTGAACAGAAGTGGTGAGAGTGGGCAACCTTGTCTTGTTCCTGATCTTAGAGGGAAGGCTGTTAGTTTTCCCCACTGAGGATAATGCTTGCTATAGGCTTGTGGTAGATGACTTTGACTATATTGAAGACAGTTCCTTCAATTCCCATTTTTCTGAGAGTTTTTATCATAAATGGGTGCTGCACCTTGTCAAATGCTTTCTCTGCATCTATTGGTATTATCATATGTTTTTTCTTTTATTGAAATGATGGAAGACGTCTTTCACCAGCCTCATGGCTCTGTCCAAGGAGAGTGGGACATGCTCCACGTTTTGCATGTTCTTAAAACCAACCTGGTTGTCCAGCAGAGGCTGCAGCATGGCACTTGCTGAGCCCCCCGCCTTGAAGGAATCTCTCTGGTAGGACCCCACAGGATCAAAGCTGTAGACAGCTCCCTTCCCTTCTTCATCTAGACCTCCGATGATATTGTAAACGTAGTATGGAAAGAAGCGTCTTGAATAAAGAATTGTAGACAGCATTGCAGCGATTGCCCCTGTAGTCATGGCCTTATTATTGGAATGTTTATACATCTTTAATCTTGCTTCAATAATCTTTGTCAGGGTAAGACAGTCTCCATGAAAACCACTGCATCCAATGACTGTTTTGTCTGTTAATTTAGGGGGATTAGAGGTCACCCCAAAAGCCTCTATACCTCTCGGAGAGACAGGCAAGCTACCGAGAGTATTCCGCCCGCATGGAAGAGCCTGGCAAGCTATCCGCTGTGTATTCGATATGCCAAAACCAGTAACTACAACTGGTCTCATTCACCTGACCCTGAAGGCTTCACCGACATGGCAGCACTGAGAAGGATGAGAAAGGAGAGGCCGACAAAATCTCAAGGCCGACCTAGGCTGCCACAACGAAGGAAGACAAAAATGATCGTCTGTACTTTCAATGCACGTACGCTAGCATCAGATGCATCCATCGAGGACCTGATGGTACAAGCGCGAATGATCAAGTACGACATCATTGGTCTGACCGAGACAAGAAGGCACGAATCTCACCATGCCGTTTTCGACACTGGAGAAGAATTTTTCCTCGGAACATGCGATAAAAGAGGTGTTGGAGGCGTTGGTGTCCTTGTCAACACAAACTTGGCCAAGAGCATTGATTCATTCGAATGCCTAACAACCCGAATCGGACGTTTACATTTGAATAGATGTGGCTCACTGCCTGCAGTTTCTATCTTCGTTGTCTACGCACCAACATCTCATTATGATGAAAGAGAAATCGAGAAGTTCTACATGGAGCTAGAGAAGTTCTATAAAGAAGACCACACCTTCTACAAGATCATTGTGGGTGATTTTAATGCCAAGATAGGACCGAGAAGATCAGCTGAAGAACTTCACATCAGAACCCATGGCCTAGAATGGAACGAACAGGGTGAGAGACTGTCTGAGTTCATCGTGTCGACCAAGACCATTCATGGTAACTCACAGTTCCAGAAGGCAGAATCTAAACGATGGACATGGGAGTCTCCTGGTGGACGATTCCACAACGAAATAGACCACATCATATTCAATCGACGGTTTTGCCTGACTGATGTCGCTGTTGTCCCAAAATTTCGAACGGGATCGGACCACCGTCTCCTTCGTGCAAAATTCTACTTCACAGAGCGGGGAGAAAGGGCTGCAAAGTTCAAAAAGAGAACTCCCAGAACGACCACCAACTGGGAACTCTTTGGTACTATTGCGGCAACATGGGAAGATGCCATTGTTGACAACATTGACGAGGAATACGATCGACTGGTTCAGCACCTCCATGAATGTGCGAGGAACGCCAAGAGAGAGATAGCCACAAAAAGTCGCCTATCTTCGAAAACTCTTGAGCTAATTCGCCAGCGTGGTTTGGCGCATGCCTCAGGCAACCGCAAGCTAACGTCCGAGCTCGCAAAGCAGTGCAGAGATGCGATCAAGGAAGACCTCAAAGAGAGAAGAGCAGAAGTACTGGTAGATGCGGCAGAAGCCGGGAAAAGTATTCGTAAGGCCCGCCTGTCCTTCGCCAACTATAAGACCAAGATGACTGCCCTCCGACGTCCTGATGGATCCATCACATCCTCCAGAACGGCAATGGAGAAGATTATCCATGACTTCTACTCAAATCTCTTCGATAGCCATGTCCACTTGCCGACATACCAAATTCCACAGGATGGGTATGTCGTTCCCAACGTTCTCCCTTCCGAAATCCGACACGCCATTTCGTCAGTAAAGAAGCAAACAGCACCCGGCCCAGACAAGGTCAGACCTGAACACCTGAAGAACCTGCCGTCAGTACTCATCAATACACTGGCTCGGCTCTTCACTTGCTACCTGTCTGAATGCAAGGTTCCATCTCAATGGAAAACCAGCAGGACCATACTACTGTTCAAGAAGGGAGACATCCATGACATTGGCAACTATCGCCCGATCTGCCTATTGTCTGTCATCTACAAGTTGTTCACTCGAGTCATCCTGAATAGGATTGGCAGAACACTAGATGAAGGACAACCATGTGAGCAAGCAGGGTTCCGCAAAGGATTCAACACCATCGACCATATCCACACGATAACCAAGCTCATTGAGGTTTCTCGGGAGTTCAAGATGCCGCTCTGCTTAACGTTCATTGATTTAAAGAAGGCCTTTGATTCTGTTGAGACGGAAGCGGTCATTGAAGCCCTAGCCAATCAGGGCATTCAAGCCCAATACATCAGGATCCTCCGTGAGCTGTATTGCGGATTCACTACCAGGATCTCACCATTCTACAAAGAAGTGATTGTTGATGTCAAGAGAGGGGTGCGGCAGGGTGATACCATTTCACCAAAACTCTTCAGTGCCACCCTCGAGAACATCATGCGACGACTGGAATGGGAAGGAATGGGAGTGAAGATAGATGGTCGGCAACTACACCACCTCCGCTTTGCTGATGACATTGTTTTAATAACACCAAGCATCAGCCAAGCGGCACAAATGCTGGCCGACTTTGACCGTGAGTGTGGAAAGGTAGGACTACAGCTGAATCTTACGAAGACAATGTTTATGAGAAACAGCCTTGTTCCTGACGCCCCATTCGCTCTCAATGGAACGACCATCTCCGAATGCAACAGCTATGTGTACCTAGGTCGAGAGGTCAACATGACAAATGATCTGGCACCCGAGCTGCGCAGGAGGAAGAGAGCGGCTTGGAACGCCTTCAAGAACGTCGAAGAAATAGCTAAGAGGACGAAGAACCTCCGGCTCCGGGCACATCTCTTTGATTCCACTGTTCTTCCTGCATTAACATATGCCTCAGAGACCTGGGCCCTACGCAAACAAGATGAGAACGCCATTCAGGTCTCCCAAAGAAGAATAGAAAGAGCTATGCTTGGAATATCACGTTTCACTCAAATGAGAGAACGAATCCGGAGTTCTGACATCCTTCGACGATCAAGGATCAGGGACGCTGTCTCATTTGCCAAGGTGTCGAAAATCAGATGGGCTGGTCACGTAATGAGATTTAAAGACGACCGTTGGACTAGAGCTGTTACTGATTGGATTCCACGGGATGTCAAGAGACCGCGTGGCCGCCCACCTACCAGATGGTCAGACTTCTTTGTCAAGATCATGAACGATCGGTTTGAGGCCCTCCATGTTCCCGGAGCGAAGAGATGCCATTGGGCTACACTAGCACGCGACAGGGACAAATGGAGACGTTGCTGGCGCCCGCTCGAGCAAATCGACGACTAACGGGAAGTTAAGTGATTAAGTGATTAAGTGAAATGATGGATTTATATTGATTGACTTATGAATTTTTTTGCGATTTTTATTCATTTTATTTTTATAAAGTGGTTCACAATAGTTCATTACAGATAATATTCAAACACCCACCCCACAGCGAGCATCTTCACACCACAATAAGAGGTAAGTGTGTAAAGGCTATCGTTTTTCATTCGGGAGCCATTTAAGCCCTTATACAAGAGAATACAAGCAAGTATGTTAAAATCAAACAAATGTGTGCTACTTTAGGTGCATCAGTGGGCCATGAATGTGACCATGCACTCCAGGAAATACTGTGTCACTCTCTTCCAAGAGCTTTATCTTATAGTCTCTGGGTCTTGGCTGTTGATGAGATTACATGGTGCTGGGGCAGTTTGTGGGTGTGACTGCCAACCAACTGGAAATTGGGGAGCTGGGTGGAGGAGGCCCAATCCTGATCCAAGAAGGCTTGCAGATCTCAGTCACAAGTCCCATATACCTGGGTTTCTTCATGGGTGGGTTTTGTCCGAGCATGTGGAAAGTGGCCTGTAGCTGGGTTCTGGAGGTTTTCAGCTGCAAGGGTTCTGCTTGGGGTAGGAAGGGAAACTCAACTCGCCCCCCTCCAAGGTTCCCTAGTGAAGACAGTCTGGCTTGGGGTCAGGAGATTCTCAACTTGCGAGTGTTAAATCATCCTTGCATCCCTGGAATGAATCACACTTGGTTATGGTGTAAGATCTTGTCGATGAGTTGTTGGATTCTATTTGCTAATATTTTGTTGAGGATCTTCTCATCCATGTTCATCAGGGATTTTCTTTATTGGTAGTGTCTCTGTCTGCTTTTGGTAAGAGGATGATATGTGCCTCATAGAAGATGTTTGGGAGTGTTTCTGTTTCTTCAATTTCCTGGAAAAGCTTGAAAAGTACTGGCAACAGGTTCTCTTTAAAATTGTTTGAAACAATTCACTATGAATCCATCTGGCTTTTGTCTTTGGGAAGACTTTTGATTACTGTTTCAATTTCCTTGATGACGATAGGTCTATTCAGGTATTTCATATTTTCTTGGCTCAGCCTTGAGAGGTTATAGAAATTCAGGACTCTATTCATTTCTTCTAAGTTCTCTTGTTTCGTGGCATACAGGCTTTAAAAGTAATCGTCGATGATCTTTTGAATTTCTTTGGTTTCTGTTGTGATGTCCCCTTTTCATTCCTAATTCAGTTTATTAGGGTTTATTAATGCTTGCAGAGCTATAAATTTTCCCCCTTACCACTGCTTTAGCTGTCCCACAAGTTCTGGTAGCTCATGTCTTAATTCTCATTTGTTTCCAGGTATCTTTTGATTTCCTTGGTTTCCCCCAGATCTACTTTTTCAACATTGAGTTGTTTAATTTCCAGTTGTTTGACTTGATTCTTCGTTTCCATGTGTGATTAACTTCTATCTTCATTGCATCGTCGTCTAAAAAGATAGTTGATACAATTTCTATCTCCCTGATTCTATTGATATATGTTTTGTGGCCCATAATGTGATCTATCTTGGAAAATGTTCTGTGTGCACTGGAAAAGAATGCGTATTCGGTTTTGGGGGAATGGAAAGCCCTGTATACAACTATTAGCCTTCTCTCTTCCATTTCTTCCTTCAAAGCCAGTACTTTCTTGCTGAGTTTTAATCTTGTTGATCTACCAAGAGGTGATAAGGTAGTGTTCAAGTCTCTGATTACTATTGTGTCACTATCAATGTCCTTCTGGGTAGTTGTTTTAAGTATTTAGCTGATCCTTCATTGAGTGTGTATATGTTTATGAGTGTGATTTCTTCCTGCTGTACATACCTCTTGATTATTAAATAATGGGATATGTTCCTTCACTGTCCCTTCTAGTCTTTTTCAGCCTGAAATCTATGTTGTCAGATATGGCCACCCAGATTTTT